TGGGGAGAAGGGTGAAGTTAGCGGAGGGAAGGCGCTTTGGGGAGGAGACAGAGCTGGATATGGTCATGTGAATGGGAAGACAAGGAATTCCAGGGCAAGGAAAATATGCAAGATCAGGCATGAAAGGCTATGGGTAAAAAATGGCTTATGGCCGGAACCGATTTGGCTCAGTGGATAGAGCATCAGCCTGCAGACTGAAAGGTCCCGGGTCCGATTCCTGAAAGGTCCCGGGTTCAATTCCGGGCAAGGGCATGTACCTTGGTTGCGGGCACATCCCCAGTGGGGGGGTGCAAGATGCAGCTGATCGATGGTTCTCTCTCATCTATGTTTCTAACTCTCTATCCCTCTCTCTTCCTCTTTGTGAAAAACCAATAAAATACATTTTTAAAAAATGGCTTATGGGGTTCATTGTGGCTGGCCTTGGTATGCATAAAAGGACTAGAGTTCTATAAATTGACAGGATGCCCCACAAAGGCTTTGTTAAGGATATGAGACTCTGGAAGTTTCTGAACAATGGATGATAAGACCAACACTACCCTCTGAAATAATAAAAAGGGCAGTTGTGGGATGGTGGTCGCAAGTGACTGTGTTGAGGGAATAGCAGAAAAAGCAGCAAGTAGAGGGGGCTAAGAGGCTACCCACAGGACCAGCTTCCGGAGATAGTCCAGGGGAAAGACCCACCTGCTCAATGGGACTGTGTGGAGACAGAAAGTGAAGAACAGTGATGCGGAGATTTCTCGGTGAGGGGCCTGGAGGATGGTGGGGCAGCAAATATGGTAGATAACTCAGAAAATAGTCACAGGAACTAAGTTTCCAGTCAGGAGGACTGAGACATGTTTTCCCAGAGATGGATTCTTTTCCTGTTTCTGTCTAAAGTCCCAAAACAAGTCTGAGATGATGGCTGGGAGAGGAGCCTCTTGTTTCCAGACTGACTTTGTGCTGACTCAGTTGGAAGTTTCTAAAACCCAAGGATGTTCAGTGAGTGGGTAGTTACAGGCCAAAGGCACACTATAGTAGCCAGTTCTCTGTCACACACTTCTGCTCAGTCAAATAAAGCTGCAAAGACCTAATACCTTCAAAGCAAGAAGTTAGCTGCATTTTTTCTATGACAAACAGGTCCTTTCTTGTGACTGTCTGTCCATTTCTCTCTGCCACTGGATCCTTAGGGCCTGCAGGGCCTAGGCCCATTTGTTACATCTGTGTCCTCAGTGCCTGGCACGGGTACTGACATATCATTAGCCTCAGGGATGGCTTGGAGGGGGCGGTACAGGGGGAAAGACTTGAAATTGGAGTTGAACTTAAATCCTGAGTCTGAGTGAGAGCATTCCACTCTGTCCACTTCCACTAATGACTTGATCCCTGAAGGCAAAGAAGCAAATTAAAACCAGAAGTGACTTTTCTTTGAGGGGGAAACCCTGATAATAAACAAGGTTTACTTTGTTCTTGGGAGATGAAAATTGCTGCATATTAAAAATACATATAAAAATGTTTACAGTGAAAAGGAAGGCTGGACCAGATATCCTAAAGAGAAGCAAGGTCTCTATTTTCCTGCTGCTAAAGGAAGAAGAGTTAAAGAGACATTCATTCAAGAAATATTTTATTGAGCTTTTACTATGTTTCAGGAACTGTGCCGAGTGTTGTAGCTGGAGAGGAATTAAGGCTCAGTCTCTGCCCCTAAAGCACTCACATTTTCTTCTATATCAGAGCAAGTATAAGAGAGACTTCTTTAAAATGCCGCAGGACGTGGGACATATTGTTAAAAATCGGGACTGTCCCACCAAAAGCGGGAAGTCTGGTCACCTTATGGTAGGCACTAGGTACAATATACAGATCTTGTAACATAGAAACCACACCTGAAACCTAATGATGGTGTCGACTAAGGCCCCTATAATAAATTTAATTTAAAATAAATAAAAATAAATTCATTCATTTGTTTTTATTTATCAGACATATTATTTGCCTGTTATGTGCCAGGAAATGTACAAGACTCTGGAGGATATGGAGATCAATAAGCCTTAGTCCCTACTAACTGATCTTTGAAATATAATAGAGTGAGTCTGCTGAAGGACAGATATGTGAGCAATATATCATCAATGTATGTATCAAATGCAATGCTGAGATAGAAAAGCAAATAATTAATGATTTTCTCTATAGAATCAATTTCACTCTCTATAATCTTGGTGTGAATTTTTCCCAAAAATCACCAAGTCTACTAGTTGTTTTTTCATCTTCTCATGAATTTTAAATTACCCATCTTTGAGACAGAGTAGCCATAATACAATAGCTCACAAATTGGAGCATATTTCCCTACTAGTAGCCCAGTGCACAAAATTCGTGCATGGGGTGTAGGAGGGTTTCCTCAACCCAGACTGCACCTTATCCAATCTGGGACCCCTCGAAGGATGTCCTACTGCTGATTTATAGGGATGGGGCCTAAACTGGCAGTCAGACATCCCTCTCAAAATCTGCACCTGCTGGCTCCTAACCGCACACCTGCCTGCCTGATTGCCCCTAACCACTCTGCCTGCTGGCCTGCTTGCCCCCAACTGCCCCCTGCTGTCAGCCTGCTCATCTCTAAATGCCCCCCCCCCTGTCAGCCTGATCACTCCCAACTGCTCCCCCATGCCAGTGTGCTCACCCCTAACTGCCTTCCCTGCTGGCCCGCTCGCCCCCACATTTCCTCCCCACTGGCTTGCTCACCCCCAACTGTCCCCCTGCTGGCCTTCTCACTCCAAACTGTCCCCCTCCCCACACTCTCCTGATGACCACCAACCCCCATTGATGGTCTGCTTGCCCCCAACTGATTCCCCTGTGGTCCGCTTACCCCAACGGCCCATCCCCCACCATCCTGATCACCCACAACTGCTGTCTCATCCTGGTCTAATCACCCACAACTGCCCTACCCTCTTGACCTGTAACCACCTCTACCTCAGCCCCACCACCATGGTTTTGTCCAGAAGAATGTCCTGAAAGTCTCCCAGTCTAATTAGCATATTACCCTTTTATTAGTATAGATACTCTGCCTTCCTAGGGCCCAGGGCCAGGGCCATTAAGAGAAACAACACTTGACACTTCACATAGTTTTTATATGTGCTAGACACTCTTCTAAGAACTTTACAGATATTGATTTATTAAATACAACAATCATATAAAGTAGATATTATTATTATTGCTATTATTAGTTACAGCTAAAGCTAATTGAGACACAAAGGTTGACCACTTACCTAAAGCTGCCCAGCTAGTTGGTAATAACGCTAGGTTTTGAACCTAAGGCACTTGGCTCAAGGGTCTCTGATCTTAACCACTCAAAAGAGAAAGCTTTGTAATAGCTATCTGGACAGACAGCCATGTAAAACCTACACAGATAATTGGGTGGGGAGACAGTGCACTGGAATTGGAAGGTGGAGGTTGGCAGACAGGGCTCAAAGATTTCTCATATAAACCTTTTTCAAATGGAAGCCTCAAATCTCTGGCAGCCAATTTTTACTGAGAGGATAGCAGGCATAGAATAGCATCTTAAATACAAGTAATCATTTCTGTGTAAATATCTAGTTGGAGAGGGATTAGAGGTAGCACTTAACTGAAGGTGAAAAGCATAAGAGAGCTATGTGTTTACATAAACTAGGACTTGATGTTTTCTTTGCCTGTTGTTCCTGAAACAGACACAATGATTGTTTCTTCTCTGGTGAGTTTATTTAGAATACAAAGCTCAGGTTTTGCCGGGAATTTTAGATCCCTGGGGCTAGAACAGAAATTTTGAGGTCATCTAAAGCTATAAGGAATAAGTCCTTTTCTCTACCCTTAATAAACACACACACACACACACACACACACACACACACACACACACACACACACACACACCTTTACAACACAGAAGAGGATAAATATAAGATGGGAAGTACCTGGTGCCCAGAAAGGCATTAGTGGCCCTCTATTAAAAGTAGGCAGGAGTCATCATGCAAATACAATGATGTTAGATATTGAATGATTCTTTTGTTGGAGCTGATTGATGTTCTCCAACACTCTAGATTGAATAAATGTTTAGATTTTATGTCTAACCTCTTGGTCCTATGTTTTTAATTCATTAGTTCCAAGTCTTAGAAAGAGGTTTCTCAAATATCCACCTTAATAAGAGATCAGAATTATTCAAAAGTAGCCAGGAATTTGAAAGTAGCTAGTCTAAGTTGGGACACTTCTCATAATGGAAAACTCACGGCTTCTAAATCACATGTAAATCCACTGTGTTTTATCAGTCTGTACTATATGCACTCCTGTTTTAAAGCCTATTCAAGAACAACTGGAGGCCCAGTGATTAGAAATCTATTTTTCAACCTTAAATATCCTCTGTTTTTTTAGAGAAAAGTTGGCATCTTACCCAGACCTACCTTATCAGAGTGAGGGACTCTTCTGTACTCTCCATGTCAAAGATGTCTATACCCTGTTTCCCCGAAAATAAGATAGTGTCTTATATTAATTTTTTCTCCCAAAGTTGCGCTAGGTCCTATTTTCAGGGGATGTCTTATCTTTCCATGCGCTAGGTCTTATTTTTGGAGGATGTCTTATTTTCAGGGAAACACGGTAATTCTTATCCCAAGTGTGATAGGACTAGTTTACTTTTCCTTAATGGAAACTCTGTCCTTAAATTTTAGACTTCACTGTTTTTATTTCAGCTTTATCAATGATAGAAGCCATGCAAAGGGATCCTGAGGGACCAAACTTCTCATTTCAAGATGAGGAGAGGAAGTTCAAGGAGAAGAGCGCATCATCCTAGTATCAACTTGGTGATAAGAGTTGTTCCTGGTTCTCATTCCATGATTCTTTCTGCTGCACCCTCCTCTACTTTTATGTTGCACTGAAGGTGACATTGTGTAACCAGGAAGCCTAGGAAGGTGCAGTGGTTGTCATTTCCCAAACCTTCCCAAACCTTCTCCTCACTCCTCTCCCAGACCACATGTCTAAACCTGCATCCATTGGAAGGAAAGATCACTATCTCTTACTCATTTCCATGTACTCTGGAGTCAGTCCAGTGTATGGTTCCAAGCTGTAGTCTAGGTCCCACTGCTCTGGGTGTCTTGAATGGGCAGAGTCAGTTTCTCTAGGTTCTGTTTCATCTTTCAGCTTCCGAAATAGTTTTTTTAGCTTCCTGGAAAAGAAATAGACCAGTCACCAAAAGCCTTTGGAGGACAGTTAGTTCTACAGACAGAAAGGAAAAACTAAGTGTTGGCACTAAAGTTATCTCTGATCCAAGGACAGATAAAGAGATATGAAGGAAAGTGTTTTTTTCTTAAAGACAACCTGTCCTTCATCAGGATAATGAAAGGCTCCCTCTCAAAGGATCATGAAAGAAAATAAATTCTTCTTGCATTTTAATAAGCAACAAGAGACTTGGCCCTGTCTGCCAAATACTGAGATAGTCTTATCATCTAGCAGGTGACCTATCTGCTCTCTTCATGGGGAAGAGAGGGTACCCAGAAAATAATAGAAAGATACTCTCCTCCAAAGTAAAACATTTTTCAGGTCTTGATAACACAAATAGCACAATCTTTCCATTAAAGCAAGGCAAAACACTGTCTACCACTGCTATGTGTTGAAATCACTCTCTTTCCAATTCTTATCAAAGTTCTAAACCCTAATGTGACTGTATTTAGAGACAGGGCTTTCAGGAGATATTTAAGGTTAAATGAGGTCATAAATGCAGGGTCCTAACCAATAGGATTGGAACCCTTATGAAACAAGGAAGATACAGTGACCTCTCTGCCTTCCCCATGTGAGGACACAGTGAGGAGGTGGTCATTTGCAAGCCAGCAAGAAGGCCCTCACTAGAAACTAAATTCTTCTGGTACTTAATTTTGAATTTTCCAGCCTCCAGCACCTTGATAAAAATAAAGTTTCTGTTGTTTAAGCTACACAGTCTGTATCATTTTGTTATGGCAGCCCAAGCAGACTAAATCAATTGCATGCAGGACTTTTTTTGGCCTAGAACAGTGGTCGGCAAACTCATTAGTCAACAGAGCCAAATATCAACAGTACAACGATTGATATTTCTTTTTAAAGCCACATTTTTAAAATTTAAACTCCTTCTAATGCCACTTCTTCAAAATAGACTTGCCTAGGCCATGGTATTTTGTGGAAGAGCCACACTCAAGGGGCCAAAGAGCCACATGTGGCTCGCAAGCCGCAGTTTGCCAACCACTGGTCTAGAATAATAACAAGATAATAATGGCCCAGCCTCTAGGGTTGGTATAAGGAATAAGTGAAAGAATGTTTATATACTTTTTAACACAGAATCTTGGCACGGTAAGTATTCAATGGATGGTAGCTATTATCATTTTAAAATTAAATGTTAAAATATATCTGAGGGTATAGTCTTTTCATACCTTCCATTGATACACAATATATGGACAATGAAATTAGATGGAGAAGGCTGCCAATTATGCTAACTAGTCTATGGGAAAAATTCTAGGAGATAGTTTGGAGAACTAACAGCAGAAGAGACAGATGATAGATTTGAAAAATTTAAAGGGATTTTGAAGTCCATGTTCCATCTAAATGCAGGATACCACCCCCACCTTCCACATTCCTCACACAAGATCATGCCACCGCTGTGTGGCTATTTCCAGACTATAACTCCTGTCAACATTAGGCATCTATTGTTAGAAAGTGCTTCTAACAGTTTATGGAAATCTAATAATTCAAAATTACATTCTAATCAATGTCTTTCTCATATCAATTGCCATCAAGAAGATGTAGTACAGTGTAGTGGGTAAAGTCTGATCTTTGAGGTCAGAAAATAGTTGTTTAAAGCCCAGATTCACAATTCACCAGTTGTAGTTTCTTAAGCCAGCTATTAAAACTCCATAAGTTTTATTTTCTTATCAATGAGCAAATGTTAACTAGCCCACAGGATTCATTAAAGGAGACAATCTATGTAACATGCTGCACTTTGTGCTTGGTACATGCTAAGAGCTCACTAAATATATCTATCATTGTCTCTACCATTACCACCACCACTACCATCAGTAGCAAAGGAGGATTTAAAGAATAAGTTGAGATCCATTTAAGCAGCAGTAAAATAAAATATTTCATAATAATTTAGCAAGCAATAATTCTGTGACATTAAGAAACTGAGAAAAACCCAGATGGAGCCTGAAGATTCTGAAGCCAAATAGAGTAGACCAGCTGAGACCCCATTTGTGAGTCAGAAAAAAAGAAGAGGATGAAGAGAGAGGAAGAGAGAGAAAAAGAAGGACAGAGTGGAAGAGGAGGGAGGAGGTGAAAAAGGAGGTCTAGAACCAGAACTCAAATTGAGACTTTTCTTCCAGACATCAGTAATCAGAAAACTTGGCTAAATTTTTAGTAAAAACTAATTAGTGTTTTAATTAAACATGAAAAATTGAACACATACATAATCCTTATCTATTTCTGAAATGCTACAAAAATAATAATGAATTTTAAAATGTATGAAACCACAAGGTTAAAGAAAACAGTCATGAATACAATAGTGTATTGAGAGACGTAATGAATGTCTTAGAAAATGAACATTAATGAAGAGTTAGCAAAGTTGTTATGGTTGTATACCAAGTGCTTATAGTAAAAGACAGGACAGAAAAGCAAGCCAGCTTATGCTGCAAAATATCAGAAAGGCTCAAAAATTGCAGGTACCAGATATCACCAAAAGTAGTTGGTATTAACTGATCAATGCACTGTTTAAGGAACAGTAGGCCCTAATATATCTGTCCACCTATATTTTCCAAGAAACTACCACTTTCTAACATCAGCAGGAACAAAAAGTTTATTTTGAGGAGAACCAGGAAAACTCTAGATCTGAAATACAACCAATAAAATAACAGAAGTTAAAAATAAATAAACCCTAAAAAAAAAAAGTACAAAAGACAAACTAACCATAGAAAAGATAAGAAAATGAATCAATCTAGGAACTCCAGTAGAATGAGAAAGACAAGATCAAGAAAATGGTGGGGAAGAAAGTACATAAGAAATACAAGAAAATGTCCCTGGGGTGAAAAATATACATTTTCTGGTTGGAAGAACCTACTCAGCATAATGGTTAAAAAAAAAAAAAAAATGGATCTCTGCCAAAGCACATCACCATAAGATTTCAGAAATCTAAGAATAATGAAAAGGATTCTAAAAGTTTCCAGGTACAGAGGGATAAACATAAGTTCTCTAAAAATTATTTTGAATCAAAATGGTATTAGAATTCTCAGCATCAGCCATCAACACTGGAAAATTCTAGGGAAATGTATTAACATTAAGGAGATAAAAATCTTAGCACAGAATTCTATAACCAGCCAAAGTATACATCAAGGGCAAAGGCAGAATAAAAACATCTTTACACATGCAAGTTTCCTAAAAAATATCCTTCTATGTATCATCCATCCTCATGATATTCTAGGAGGATGAATTTCACCAACCAGGGATATACAGCAAGAAAAAATTCAATATATATATAACCTAGCAAACAAGGAATCCATCAGAAAAAGGAGGCATTGAATCAAACACAGATTGATAGCTGTGTAGAAGATTCCGGTTTATGGATATGCTCTCTAGGAAAAAATAAATGCAACCAATAAGATGTCTGATATATTTGATGAGGTATTCTAGATAGAAAAGTGAACACAAGAAAGTGTTGACAATAATGTGTAATGAGTATTATGAAGGAAGAAGTTTAGGTAATTATGAGAATACTAGAGGTTCATGAATTTGTGCATGGATGAGGTCTGGTTGGCCTGCCCCCAATTGGGGCTGATCAGGGGTGGGACACCTGGAGGAAGGGGCCATGGGAGGTTGGCCATTGGCCTCGTCCCCTGATCAGGGCCCCATTGGGGCCAGGCTGGCAGAAAGAGTGGGGCTGTGAGAGGTCGGCAGCCTTATCCCTGATTGGGAGGCGATCAGGGGTGGGGCTGGCCAGCCAACCTCCTGCAGCCTCTTCACCCAGCCAGCCCTGCCCCTGACTGGGGTGGGGGGCCAATCAGGGGCCGGGCCAGCTAGGGGGAAGGGTGTGTTATAGATACCAGTCATTCTCGTCATTCCATTGTTCCAGTTGCTTGGCTTTTATATACATAGATATCAAAGAAACCTAACTTTGCCTAAAGAAGAGGACATTTCCCAGAGGAAGAAATGTATAAATCAAATAAATTACAAGAGATGAAAGAAAAAGCATGGAAAAGAGTGAGAGTTGTGTATGACAGGTGAATGTATGCTCTAGGCCCAGGGAATTATTTGTGCAACGGCCAAAGATAAATGTGAAAATGGCTCAGAGGAGGGACTGAAAGTTCAAAATGTTTAGGGCACGGAGAAGGAAAGAGGAAGTGACAAAAGATAATAAAAGTTCATTGCATTGAAGGTATCCTGCGTGCTTCAGCAAGAGATTATGGAAGCAGAATCTAGGTGATTGCAATGGATGTGGAAAGAGGTAGACAGATTGAGACATGCTTAAAGGTAGAGTTAAGAAGCCAGTGATGAACTGTATGTGGAAATAGGAGAATGAAAATGAAAGGGACCTTGGGCATATGGTGGATGGTGACATAGTTTGCTAGGACATGGAACACTAGAGAAGAGGCAATTTTGATAAAAGGGGATGAGGAGTTGGAAGTGGAGGATGCCATAAGATAGTCTAGTAAGCAATGTTATATAGGTCTATAGCTGTAAAAACTGGTCTAGGTTTGAGCTCAAGATCTGAGAATCATCATGGAGACAACTGAAATTCTACAATGAGCACCACGTGTGGATTGAGCAGAGGGGAAAATGTCTACAGTTAAGGGAAGGATGGATGGAAAGGAACCTCGGAGGGCTAGGAAGGAGTGTCATAGGAAGAGGAGGGCAACTGCAAGACCATGGCATGGGAGAGGGCATCAGAGAGCTTCCAGAGGAACTATGCAGTCAGCAGTGTAATATACCAAGGGGAATGTCAAAAATGATGAGGGGGAGCCATTTAAAAAGCTGATACAGAAAGCCCCTCAAGAGTGGCATTTAACAGGAATCCTGCATGTTGTATAACATACAGATGGGTCGTTTGGAAAGCTTCAGGTTATGATTCCAACCGTATGATGCACTCGCTCGTTAAAATAACTTCTTTGATGTTACCCCTTTATCCTTTTGTCTGCTATTTTTCTGTCCCTTTTA